ATTAACATCTTACTTTTCGTATTGCACCTCCATTATATATTTACAAAGTCTTATATAATAAATAACGTATCTTAATGAAAAACTGATTCCTAGAGGAAAGAGTGTGATATCAGTATATTTTAGAGTAAATAATTATTATGGAAAACACTATCAGCAACGTACAAATACCATCAGCTTTTATCTTTCAACACAATGTAAGAGATTACAAAACCAAATTAACCATATGTCTGCTGATAAATCCTTGATTATGACATACTCAAACTGCATTATGTAATATGTATCATTGGGGATTTTCATCTGGACTGTTCTAGGCTTAAGAAAAGACATTTAATTGGAGTTAAATATATAAACACACAAGCTAACAAAAATAACTATAAATCACATCTATTAAAAGGTAGAATGTCAAAAATAATAAAAATACAATAAAATGAAATTAAGAAATAAAGAAATTAATGCATTTCTGTTCTTCACATTGAAAGCTTCAGTATACACCCTTACCACACTCAAAGTCAGCAGCATAAGATCTAATTACCATGATTACAAATGTCAGTGATTCACAACGGGAAAACTTTTCAAATGTGGGTCATCCACTGGCAGTCCTTTCCTGGATAGGGGGATACCTCACATCCATATATACTTTCCACTTCAGTGATATATATAACCAGTCTAATGAAGTACACATACTTGAATGAAATTGTATATTCCAATATCATTTTCCTGGTAATTATTGAGAAATCCTTCATATGACTAATCCATATGATAGTGGTATTGATGGATTCTTCTCACTCTACTATCCATATGTATAAAAATCATACCACAGAAACCCCGAATACCCACAATCTTGGCCCCGATAGCTAGGGAGGTACTGGAGAAATTGTTGGGCGAAATATAAATAACCAAAACAGATTTGGCCAGAATCTCACCCCCAACCCCCATTCTGAATGACAAAGGAGTATGATGGTGTGTGGGACAGTCTTGGCATCAGGCACTCCCAGGCACTCTGATTGGATGTACCATACGCCCGTGACACTATGCCTCTTGTAACCCCGTAAGGTGGGACTGCCAGACCCCATCCCTCCACATGTGTATGGTAAGATGGAGAAATATCAAATCGCATAGGTAAAGGAATGTATCCTGAATAACAGCAACCAAACCTGTGATATAGACAGCATAATATACTGACTAGAATGTGTGGTATTCCAGACTATTTTTATCCATCTAACAAGTTATTGCATTATCATCCCTCGGCTCTTCCTTGCCGTGTTCACTCCGCTTGTCAGTCGTACGTTTAATCCTGTCATGAGTACATAGTGGATTCTTTGTATTCAGGGGCTAGGACTGGTGGCAGATCCCCAGGGGTGGTTGCAGGGGCCACTGCCACCTGCATCAGACAATATAATGACTTATTCTGTGTATGTTATTATAACAGAGATGTATTTCATGTATACTATTCATATTTTCTCCAGCAATTTCCCTTGTAGCCCTCACATCCTCCCCTACTACGGAGGCCAAGAACATGCGAGTTTCTAGGGAATTCTGCGGCAATTGCCCTATATATACAGGCAGTAGAGGGTGAAAGGAATCCATGATAAACACTGAACAATTACCATTTTTCCTTCAGATTGCCAAATGTTTATCATAATTCCATCTCTATATTTTTCATTGTTGATGAAATTAATACTTTAAGCCTAAAAATGCCTTTAAAAAAAATCCAGACATATATTCTGTAAATGTATACACTGACACATACGAAAAATATAAATATAACTCTTACCGGATGTTGACTCTCCTACCACATATTCCTCCAGCATTACAGAAATTTAAAAAAAAATTGCTAAAATAAGACAAAATAACAAAGACCAATTGGTGTTCAGCACGTAATGTTCAAGATCATTCTAGGTTTCCTTATCAATGGCCCCAAAGTTAGATCTTCTGGTTATCATTTCTCTCGACCTCAAGGTAGAGCCAAACAAACAAACAAACAAACAAACAAAGTGGATATTGAAAACAAATGTATGTTTCTTCACGTGATGTTCTTGTTATAATGGTGATGTACTGTCATATACTGTCGCAAACTAGAGTGTTATGTCGTCCACTAAATTAAAAAATTAAAATATGCACTTTACGTATATGTTGATCCCAAGGGTAAGGTGATGACGCAACACCAGTGGAAATTATGTTCTTGTTTCGGGTCTCTGTGGATTAAATCTTTATAGTTTGACTCCGAAATTGATATCTATTTCAACCTCCCTCGGGGAAAATTACAAGTAATCTGACCGATGAAAATTTTTCCTAGAATATTCCATTGGGAGAAAATTCCATAACGTGAAGTGTGTCTCTCTGGAAAACTGCCGACTCGGAAATCAACTGAAAACCTTACCAATGGACAAAATATCAGAATAGAACCATTCCTCTCCTAGTTTCTCAACATACCTGTAGGAATTCCAAGTTCCTTAGAGCCTCTCCCGAAGCCTTTGACGACACACCCGACTGCGAAGTG